TTTATTAATTTTTATTTTAATTTTATAAATTAATTTAGATGTCTCAATTATTTGTTTACAAATAATTATTCAGTCATAAGTGATATGTATTAAAGTGTAGTTCCGCTGTATATTTAATATTTATCTGTTCTACTAGTTAAAAATGTTGTGATAATATTCATATTCATCGACATTAGAGTTCTAAATGTTACATTAAAATTATCTTTTATAATTAATTAAAAATTCTAATAGACATGGAAAATGTTAATAGAAATATTAAAACATGATTTACCAACGTCTAACTTCATGTATGTGTTGGTACATCTCGATCACAAGCGTGCATGTCCGGTTATGTTGTTAACCACCTATTCTTTACTATTAGGCAACTTCTCTCCAACTACCACTTTATTTTTATTTCCATCTTTTTTCTGAAGAAGCAAAAGGAGATATATACGTATCCATACATATGATTTTTTGGTATCTTTATTATATACATAATATATATATATGACTTTTTTGGACCCACCAACTCTTCTGTTTCTGTCATCCGAAGCTTTCTCATAAATTTTCCATTTATGTATACCACTTCATCTTCACGATTTTCTTCTGAAATTTTTCAATAAAAATATATATTTCTTTGTCATCTAAGTCAATTTAAATCATCTGGAGCGATAAATTTTGATACCTACTAATTTAAATGTCAAGGTGAATCGTTTTAAATTTAACCTACACGAGTTTGTGTTACTGACATATTAAATTATTGATTTATAATCGAATAAGATTATGTTTAGATAAACTAAAGATAAATTATAAAAATTTTATTAGTTTGTACTATATTTTATAAAAATATTACTTTATACATAAACTATATACAGCAATATAATTAGTTATGTGCATATTTAAATTTATCTTACAAAAATGTAACTAAAGAAAATTAACTTAACTAGATAGTTAATATGTTTTCAGTTAACAACTAATGAGAAGGGGAAAAAAAAAAGATGATTGAAATACCTCTCTCAATCTGTGTACGATTTAGTCTTCCTTCTCTATCCATCTTCTTCTTAGTTTTTTCTTATTATCATGCATCTACGAGATTTTTAGAATTAAACCGGCCGTTTCTTAAACTAAATTATACTTGGAAGCTCCTAGAAAATCTTCTTTTACTTATTGTTTTTAGTTCATTCTTTGAATTCCAAAGCCACAAAAATAAAGCTCACCTCTCTTTCATTTTTCACCTAAAATTCACCTTATCCTATAACTAAAAGATAAAGAAAATGCTTTCTTTCTTTGCATGATTTCATTTTGTTTTCTACAAGTTTATTATCTACTCATCGATCGGTGTCTTCTTTTTACCCTTAGACCCCCCCTGTGCTCAGCCTCTAAAATCTTCATAACTCCCATGAAGGAGGAAATCGTAGAGCCCCTCCTTATTCTCTTCTCCTACTCCTACTCCTACAACTTTAAATCATTTCTCTTTCTTCTTTATCACATTTTAAAACTTGAAAATAAACAAGATTCCTTTATTCTTTTCTCTAATCACTACCGAATAACATCGTCAAAACTCAAACGTAAACGTAATGGAGAAAAGCAAGGAAGTTTGATTAGTTTGGAGGATGAGCAACTCAAATCTAAAAGCATTCAGTTAAGAACAAAACAGAAGAATTTCTTTTTTTTTTTTTTTTAAAAAAAAAAGGGGAATTAGGAGATAAAATATATATAGGTGTTAGTGCATAAATATACATATACGGCAGATGAGTACACATTTTATATATATGTGTGTGTGCAGCATTTATTTTTGTATGTCCCATGTATATATATGTGTGTATTTGTAGATAAGTACATATGCAGTATATATATATATATATATATACATGTTGGTGTAGTTATACATATGTATACATTAGGTATGTGTGTGTGTCTTATGTATATAAAAATATATGCGCAGTGTTTATGTATTTGTGTCCATATATACGCACATATATGTTTGTGCATTTATAAATATATATATATATATATATGCAAAAAATATACATATATATACGTATGTGTTGGTGTAGATGTATATAATAAATACAGAGGGTATGGGTGCGTGTTGTGTATATATATACATAGAGTGTTCATGTACGTGTATATATATGTATACACATATAAATATTAGTGTACATGTGTGTGTGTGTTATATCTATATATATATATATATATATGAATATATGTAAAAAACATAGTAACTAAAATTTAGGTTTTGGAACTTTTGGAAAAAGAAATGTTGTAGGCAAGTTCTAAGAAGATTTAGGAAAGTAATCTTACAGCAGAATTAAATTGGGAACAAATTGATGGGTAAAATTAAACTAATAAAAAAATAAAATAAAATTAAGGAAACTGGGTCCTAACATTGAATAATTGTGATTTTCTACACAGATTTAAAAAATCAATTTAAGAACTGAAATTCGTGATAATCAATCAGTTTACGAAATTTAATTCAAACTTGTAAAGCAGTAAGAATTAGATCAGTTTTTTTATTCGAGACTCATATTTTTATAAAAATTTTAATTATTGAATTTAAAATAATTATTTAAAATTTTATACATTATTTTTAAATTATGTCTTGGTGTGTGTATATATATTTAAAAAAATCTGCATATAAATGTAGATTGCATGTGAATGACTCTCTGTAATTGTATATGTAAATTGATATGGATGCAAATATATAATGTGTTATACACACATATGCGTAATTGGATGTGAATTTTTCTTTTAAAAAATAAGATCTAAAAAATATTTAAGTTTCTAAAGTTGAGATATGAGATAGAAGTAATATTTGAAAAGAAAATAACTTACCGGTTATCATAGAAGAGAGTATACGAACTTGGTACATAGGGTGAACCCTACTAGAAATGTGTCCTCAGTCGTACAGGGTTGATAAGTCTTATACGAGACAAGGTTGGGAATTGGTTTAATTACGCTCATACCAAATAGGGTATTAAGATGATTTATAATTGTGGTGCTCATTACTGGACGAGATATGAAGACGATAGATGAATTATAAAAGAAATATTTTATATGTCCATGTGTAGTAATAGAAATAACAATATGTAACGAAAACAAAAATTATAAGTAATCATGGTTTCAATGAAATGGTAAGAAATCCAAAGTTTCATATTCATTGAGATGTGTAATGATTGTGTTTCTCACTGTGATTCTAACGATATCTTAATATTGTGTATGGATGATTGCGTGAACTGATAGTATTATTTTTCCTGAACATGAAAACTATCTGAATACATACCTGACATGGTTGATGGTATATATGAATAAAACGAAATTATCTGCATATAAATCTAATATGATCTGATGATATTTATAAATAAAAATAATATGTACAATATTTAAATATGAACATGTTTGGAATAGATAATGAAAAGTATAAGATTCTTGATTGTTTTCTTAGGTTATATTTAGCGATAATGATAATGGATATGATTGTCTTTTAAATTAGATTCATTTAAATTTAAAGTACGGTGTGATATGTGAAATTATTGTTATGCTTGGGATTTTGGTTTAAATAAAATCTACATATGTTTTATAAATTTAATGTGATGGATGAATGCATATCTTATTTATGGGCACTGTCTATTTTTTCATCGAGTACGTGAAGCTCACCCCAATTCACACGTCCTTCAGTGCAGATTAATTCATATCAAGAGCACGTTCAAAATCGAAAGAAAACTCTTAATAAACATTTAGAGACTTTGAGAGTATTATTTTGTAAAATAAATTTAATTACATTATAACAATGTAATATAAAGAGTTTTAGTGAGTCTCATAATTTGTAGCATCGTACATCAGATATATGATTAAATTTTAAATTTTAGAACATTAATACACATATTTATAAAATTATATACATAGATTACCACTCTTTTCTCTCTAGAGAATTCGAGTCTTTACAAAAAATGTTTAACTTATTTATCCGATATTTGAAATAATAGAGGGTAAGAGATTAGTAAAGTCTATTACCTACCTTATAGTTGGAAAAGAAATTTATCCATATAGGTAATGTCTAAAAAACCTAAACTATTTTCTAATTTTTTTTTTATTTCAATGGTATCCCTTTAATAAGAATGACATTTATGTTATTGCTATTACTAGTATTATTGCTATCATCACTACCACCACTATCACCATAATATCAACTGTCACGATCACTATTAACGTTAACACTACCTCATCCCAACCACTATCCTATTCGACCCTTACTATCATGACCATCACCGTCATTGTTACTCTTGTTACCGATATCATCACTACTGTTCGTGTTGTCATCCACGTTTGTAGCCACCTCTACTATTGTAACCTTTAACGTTGCCATTATCATCATACCTATCTTTGCGTCTACTATCTATATTATCGTTGTCGTTATTATTACATACTATTACCGTTACCATCAATATTTTTCGTCACTATTATTA